ACACACGCATATACCCATGCATTATATATATATAATAGTGTATACTGTATATTATCATGTATGGATACTTATAATATGCTCGCCCGTTAACTCGAATGTGTATATTATATATAATAATATATAGGTAGTTTGGAATTATGTAGGATAATGCGCGCGCGACGATGATCAATAGAATCGTTAACTCGTATATTGTATATATATATATAATAATATATTCGTACTATATAATATGTGCGTATAATATACCTCCCATATAATAATAATAATAATAATAATAATATAATAGCATTATGATCGGCGTGGAGACGACGTGTATAATGATAATAATAAGTGAAAGTCAGTAGGGCCCTGGGGTCGTCATTAGCAATTGAATAGGTCAATATATTGCTCCGGACGGACACTGCAGAGCCAGAGCATATAGGTGGTAGGTACATATTAAATACGCCGCTTGTATTTTGACGTAATTTCCAATAATAAGAGCGTATATTATAATAATACGTGCTATAAAGATTTCGGTTTCAATCGCTCACTCCTTAAAATAATATGTAGAAAATGATGTATTATATTTTTAATGCACGCTACTCGATCTTTATAATGATATAGTTTTATAGTTGTGTGGATGCAATTTGATTTTGAAAACACTAATAGGAACGTTATAATACATATCCTCACAGACACACACACACACACACACACATGTCACATACACATACCTATATATAATATATATAATATACATATGATATATCACGCATGTTACCCATGCGCGTTCACATTAATAATAAAAAAATGCATTCTTTTCGAGGTGCGTATTATAATACAGTGCCTGCGATCGTCTAGTTTTCATCCCGCCGTCGTCACACCTCGCGGCACGCTGCCACACGTGTCGGATGCAATAGATCAAATGACATGAAACAAATAAAAAAATCTACTCCTTTCCATGCTTGTCCAATATAAACTCTAACGACAATGCGGTTGTTAAAAATCGAAATTTCCGTTGTCGCGAATGCAACAGACCAATCGCTTATATATTGATTCCGTCGTATTGTGCACAATGCACATGTTATCAGAAAATACATAGCTAATACGTTCTAATCTGTCGTAGGTGTTAATCAGTATACGCGTAAGTAGACCATAATATAGCCGTCTCCGGTGGCGGGCGTAAGAAATTAATTTTGATTGTTCAGCGTGAAATCGCAATGATGCAGTAGACATATATACCTATTATTATACATGATATGCAATGTAACGTGTATATAGAACGTATAATTATATATATCATATAGGTACCGCGGCGGCGTATAAACGTACCCAACCTATATAGTTTGTTTGAACGAAATAATAAAATCGAGAAAACGATTAATTAATTCCATTCTTAAGTACACAACGACGCGACACGCGTGTCTCGAGTGAGATCCTTTATTGTGCACAGCCACGTTCCTATATAATATGTGCAAGACCGACTGCATGGGCTCTAATTCGTTTAATAAATTATTAATTGCGATTCATACGTACAAAAAAAATTATGTAATTTATTACAATAAGATGGACATAGAAGAAGAAGTGTCTCGGCGATCATTTATTGTTTATATCTGGTAACTCTCCACACTTTATTACCATATATATTATATATTACAGCCAGGGCCGTGAAGGCAAAATACCTGGCCCTGGGAAAAGAGGCACCACCAAGGGTCCCAAGTTTTGGACCGTGGAGCCAACTAGATTACCTATATGGTTGTTATTCGTTTATAAGTATGTGAACTCCAAAGTTGATTTATCGATGCATAGGTTTCAAGCCAGAATTTTATATTCTGAGTAGCCCAATAAATATATCGGTTTACACAATGATGTGTGTGCGTGCGTGTGTATTTTTTGTTGTATCGGCCATCAGTAATAACCTTTTGGATGAGATGTAAAAATTAAAATGTCAATTTCCTTTGACTAATCCGAGGACTTTAATAATAATTTTATTGATTTCATTTTTATAAATGTAAATTTGAGTTGTTTCAAAATTCAGCCAGGCTCTGAAAAATTTAGACCTGGGATTCCCACCCCCCCTTTTATTCCTCTCCTACAGTCACCGGGAGTACATGATTTCAACCCAGCAATATCTATAATATCTTGTGTTACAGAATCGAATTTGACGATAATTCTTGAATTTTTTTTGTAATACTTAAGGAGTGTTCTGTGGCGATACAAATTTCTGTATTTCAAATGAGAAACCCCTCCTTTTTATTGTAAATCATTTAGTGAATTATTTTTTTGAAAATGTTGAAAATTCAAAATTTGATTGAGTACTTTCTTATAGTTATTAAAATGTTTGTAGTAAGCTATAGGATATAATAGTCCTAAAAAATAATTTACTTATTTTCGATTATTAATGACTAAAATGTTCAAATCACCATAGTCCCCTTATCTTATTAACCCATTATCATGGACCCTTTATTTTTAAAACACAAAATTAAATAACTCAAAAACTATTGGTACAAATATTGATTCTGGTACGTAAAATGTTCATAAAAATTATTCACTGAATAATTTACAGTTGAAAAGTAGTACTAAAAATCTCAAAAATTTGAAAATAATATTATGGTTTTTAAGTGCCTAGGTGTATTTGAAAATTCCGAAAGACAGATTTTAAATAACTGCATTACTGAAGAAAAAAGGGGGGAACACCCTGTTTATTCGCCCAGAGGCAATACTAAACTACTAGCGCCCCTCCCCTACTCCTACCAAATGCCCCATACACACGAAAATACTTGGCAGTTTTTACATTAAAATAATGGTTTTATATTTTTCACCTTGCTTATAACTGCAGGTGTTTTGTGAACTGTGGAATTAAATTACAATCGATTTAATTTGACGTGCTTGTAATAGTAACTATTATAATAATACACTTATACACCTATTGGCTATTATAATATGATATTATATTTATATCCACAACGGCTAATGCAGGCATGCAGCCAAAGTTCTACTACAATGCTCGTATATATCTATTCTGACATTAAACTTTTTTTAATGTGTTGAAAACGACCTCACGTAGTAACTGTCGTTATCAAAGCAATATCGCCACATGGATACTAGTTATCTGTACTCTCCAACTCAAATTTTATCTTTTTGTAAATATTGACATATTATTATGATATTATCCATAGTAGGTACTTATATTTCTGTTTTAAATACATATAACATCCCAACCCCTGACGTTTTTAAGCATTCGCACCTTTCGATATCTCCTCTTAAACTTAATGACATATGTATACCATTATTTTTAGGGGGTCATAATGTCGCGACGCGATATCTAGACGTATTCGAATTCTTCCTATCGTGTGAATGCCAAGTCGTGTATTATTTGGTTTTTGCGTTTCCCGAACATGCGATGAGGTGTATTATACGCTCGTTATAAATCATAACACTGTTCGTAGTGTGCGATTTATAATGTTATCACTTATCGTCGTTGTCGGTATACATAATACTTAATGTACGTAAATTATATATAATATAAGTATATTATTGACATGCGCTTGTGATGGTTTCATACAGGCTTCAACACCTTTCGAGTTTCGGTCGGAGTGAGTTATGTGTGCCTCTCGTATGTCGTATATGTTATATATTGTATAAACTATTATAATATAATATTAATATGTACTTATTCTATGATATGGTAAATTTGTTTAGCGCTCCAACGCTTTGACAATCGCTGAGTGCGGTGAATATAAACGTATTACAATAATAAAAATACACACTCGTGATGTGCAGGTCGAGTACCTATACTAAATATGATCAAAGGTCGGTGGAGCTCTTAAGTCCTAACCTACCCCTCGACCTCGCAGTAAAAGCCGCACGAATATACTCCCTGTGTGTATAGTGTATTATATTATCATTATGTATTGTATGGTGACTAGAAGAAATTTTTTTCTTTGCATTGTCCTGTAAACTATTATAATGTGCTTAACATTTTTCTCTTTTTTTTTCAAGTATGTTACCTATTAATAATATTATTTTTCACAATTTGATTATTCATCTACCATCTATGGTTTGACCTAATCCGTTCATGCATCATGCTCATATTATAGTACAGTAGTTAGTAGTACATTAGTATTTAATACCACATAATGTTTTTTCACTATGATATGAATCAACCACTATTTTACTGTCTTGTACATGGTACATTTATACATAATATAAATAACATATTTAAAGGATATATTTTATCCAAAATTAAAATCTGTACTACATAACATGCAACGTTTGGGAATTAAATCCTTTTAACGGCAATGCGTATTGATAGATTTCGGTCGATATTTGGAGATAGTTCAATATTAAAATATTATCCATAAATATATACCATGTGCCTCGAGTTTTTTTTACGTAAACATTTTGAGACAAAATTAGTAGTTTAATACATTTAAAAAAAGATGGTAATTCTCGCATTCGCCGGTCTAAAGTCTAAACGTTTTGCAAAAATAAAAAGATCAAAATGGCGAGTTCCGAAACCGTTATTATCCTCATCCCGCGCACATGAGCGAAAACCGGAAATTCACCTTGTACCATACTTTGCGCCGAATTGCCGCACCTCATTTAGTCGTTTCGCGTAGTACCTACCGCCTAATCCGATTAACGATAAACCCGTTTAATGATAATAATATACTAATTAATATTGATAAATATTTCGACACCAAAACCGGCGGAAGATCGACGGACACCGGCAGCCTCAAGCCTGGCACTGATCCGGTTTTGTACGTCACGACGTTTTCGTCGCCGCGCGTGGCTGCCCTGTATGTTATCATACAATACGCAAACGTTATCAAATACCGTGTTGTTAATTTGTTATTCGACAATTTTTTTGTGTACACTACGCTACAATCGTTGTTTCACATTCAGCGTATGTCATGTCACAGATTCCGATACATCTTTAACGGTCCGCTTGCGGCGTGTGTTCGTTTCGTCCGTGATCCCTACACCAAAATTATATAAGCCTTTAGCCGACGATAACCATGAACCCGAATCAATACTACCCGGACAACTCGTACTTCGTGTCCGACGACAATCTCAACTTCCACTCCGGTTCGTATGCCAACTACGATCAGAGCTTTGACACCTATTCGCAACCGGCCCAGTTGAACCAGCCAGCGGCCTCGTCATGGCAGCCTGCCCCTACCACGAACTTCACTGGCGAAGAAGACGAACCTCCTCTGCTCGAAGAGCTCGGCATTGACCTCAACAAAATCATCATTCGCCTGATGCACTCTCTGGACCCGACCGGCAAGTGTGGTGTCGTGCTGGGCGATTACGACGTGATCGGACCAATCGCGTTGTACCTGACCTACACGTCGCTGCTACTGTTAGCCGGTGGCAAGCTAATGTTCAGCTACATATACGGCTTGGCAGTGTTAACGTCGGTGTGCATGTATGGCTTACTCTGGGCCATGACCGATTCGTCAGAAGTCACGTTGACGTCCACGTTTTCCGTACTGGGCTACTCTTTTACGCCTGTTGTACTGGTGGCGTTGCTTGCTGTGTTCGTTAACCTAAAGAACATATTCGGTGCCATCATCGTATTGGCGGCCGTTGTCTGGAGCAGTATGAATGCAGCCAGGGTGTTTGTTGCCATGTTCGGCAACTCTGATCAGAAGTATTTAATGGCTTATCCGTGTGCAATAATCTGTGGTTTATACACACTGTTTATTTTGTATTGAAATTATTAATGTTCATTAATTTAAATGTTACATGTACCTAATTATTATATATTTTTTTTCTTTTAATATATTTATATACAATATTATATAACGTTGTACAATGTTTATTTCTACAATACCAGTTCACTGTGCATTTACTGTTATAAATGTGATACCTACCTATAAGAGTTTTCAAGTTTATTGAACAAAACATATGTTTCATCGTTTATCATCAGGTGAGACATCAGCACTGTGAAAAAAACTTACTTTACTGATAAAAATAACTTATTTCCATATGGATATTATTATATGAATAAACATGTATATTTCTTACTTGTAAAAACAATTAATGCATAGACGCAGAGTAAGTACCTAGTCATGAAGTAGTGAAGTATTTAGCTATTTAATTTTAGGGAGCTATTGCCATTGCTGTCATATTATCATAATATAAAATAGTATGTGTAACACTAAATATGTTTATAAATGTCGTATATTATACTAAAATATGAAATTGAAGTACATTGTTATTAGTCGTTAAAAGTAAATCAATAAAATTCTAATGACTAATGATTCATGTTGTATTTTTCATTAATTTTTTTATATATTTTTCAGAAATGTATTAGGTATTACCTAATAAAACAATAATATTTTTTATTTTAAATTTAAGATGGTCTCTTGTTGACCCATGAGAGTTACAAGCAATAATATTAATATAATAGTATGCAATAAATTATATTATATAATATAAATATGAGTATCTTACTTATAAATAAAATTAAATTAAAAAAAAAAATTTAACGACATTAATTTAGTTTGGTAACCCATGTCATTTATTTATAAAACATTTATTAATAAAATAAATATTAATGTGTAAATATATTATAAACTGGAGTGCGTCAATTTACTAAGTATACATTGTTATTTAGCTCTGCCATCTGAAGTCCAACAGCCTATACTTGTTTGCACCGCACACATACATTGGGATCCAGAATTCTGTGATGTCAAGCTCATACAAATCATGATGTTATCAAATGAATTGAACACTATACTAGAAGATGCTAACCGCAATTATCGTAATGTGAATCATCATCAACCACCAATACAGCTGTTATTGTGTGGGGATTTCAATTCATTGCCTGACTCTGGTATAAAATTATTTTGACTTTTGTAGTTGTGTGTTTATTATTATTGGATTTAACTTTGGTTTGTTTTCATTTGTTCTTTATTTACATAGGAGTGATAGAATTTTTGTCCGCTGGTAAAGTATCTTCGGATCATCAAGACTTTAAAGATCTGCAGTACAAGACACTTCTACATAAAATTTCTACATGCGATAGACCCAACGAGTTTATGCATTCCTTTAAGCTATCTTCTGCTTACGAAAACATAATGCCATTTACAAATTATACGTGTGTTATATAATAATGTAGTTTTGTTGATCTATTTTTGATATTTAAAATTTATATTTTAGATTCAATTTTAAAGGCATCATTGATTATATTTTCTACACTAGACAGACAATGACGCCACTTGGTTTGCTTGGCCCATTAGCTCCTGAATGGTTCAAAGACAATAAAGTACTTGGTTGTCCACATCCTCATATACCGTCTGGTAAATATCTTTTGGAACACATCATTCTGTAATAAGTTTCAGTAACTTTAATGGCTATAATTGATACATGCAATTTTAATTTTCAGATCATTTTCCGTTGTTAGTAGAATTCGAGTTATCGCCAAATGCACACCAAAGCAATTCAAATGGATTGATTGGCCGAAGGTAGCCTCAACGTCGGTTGAAAACCGTCAAAAAACATTAATCGCCAATATATTAAGCGTACGTACCTGCTACGAACACTCACTACATCCTTTGTACCGCAATAACAGTAAATCATTTGAACTACTGTACCTATCCCCTTTTAACATATGTCATTGACTTCATATGCAAATAATAATCTGTTTAAAACAAAAAAAAATCCCATGACTACATTTTTTCTTAGTTATTTTTTATGAACAAATGATAAACTGAAAAAAGTAATTAGAAGAAAATGTGTCAAAACAAAAATTAGTTATGAATTATTATTATATTACTTGGCTATTTTTCATCCTAGTTTATTTTATCTACGTAAAATATCTCTCCCTACCCCTAATTTATTTTCAAATGTTTGTATACAACACCATAGAGAAATTCTGACAAATATTTGTTGAAAACCTTTTGTTTTACTTCTTAATTACAATTATTATTATTGTAATGACTATATTTTTTTTATATATATAATAAAATGTTGTCACTTTTATTTTTACCTAAAATAATTAAATTTGCATTTATTTTAACAATGCTCGAAATAAATGTTTTTTTGGCAACATTTTTTCATCAATAATATTTTTTTTTGTATGAATTGTGAATTATTCTCATATTGCTAAAAAGACATTCAACTGATATTTAATATTTTAATTGAAAAACCCCATCATAGATAATTAACTGGTTTTTTTCCTCCTGTATACATTATATGAATTTAGTATTCTGATCATCTGTATTATTGTGAAACGTTATAATGTTAATGAATAATTTTCGTTTAATACCTATGTAATAAATGTCATCATTGTAATGAAAATATAAGATCTACTTACCATAAAAAACATAACCATATAGCAACTGTTTTCAGAAGTATTTTAATTGTCAACAATAGAGAGGCACAGTAACACGTATAAATGTATCATTGTTTTCATTATTTTTTATTATACTCTCAATGTCAGTATTCAAATGTGATTTGTAATTTTTGAACCATGTCCTAAGATTTTATGTAAAATTGTAATTTGTATTACTTAATGTAGTGATAAATAAATTAAAGTTTACTGCTGATAGATTTTCAATAGACTTTATATAAAAAATAACTTTATCTTATAATATAATAGCAATTGTCAATTTATGGAAATTGAGTACATACGGATAGATTATTTTTCTTGTATACCTACTTAATGAAATAATATTGTTATCCTTGCAACATATAATATTAATATCGATCTGAAGCGCCGCATGAGATAATTCTCACAATAATTACAAAATGTACGCACATGTATTTATTATAATCATCATACCTATACTGTTAAGACTTAGTTTGTAAGTGTGTTGTTATTGATGTATAATAATATAATGTGACAATTTTTTTCCACGTGTTACAGAGACACGTATAATTATGACATATTTTTATGTACAAGGCTAATTAACTTAGTGCTCTCAGCTCCAGTGGCTTTCTCGGTACTCGGACATTAAACCGTTTTTTTCGTCCCACAAATACCTGCAATTTTTCTTTCCTGATTCTTATTTTTTAAAGTTTTGAAAAATTCTTTCAACCGTTGCCTGAAAACCGAGAATGCTGATTTTATAATGTTATAGGTAATGTTGATGACCCACCTATTAGCCTTATAATGTAGGATAAAATAATATAATATGTTTATTTTTTTTTTGAAACATGTGTTTTCGTCGTCATTCCGAACGCGTTTTTAGTTTTTAGGCCCCCCCCCCCCCAATGCTTTTATTATTTCATCGAAACTCTATTATAATATATTATAGTCTATGTGACACACTGACAAAGCGGAGTTGAACATGCTATAAAACGTCCTCTTAGGCCTCTACTTTCTCGTAGTAACCCTTTTTAGTATACTTATCACAGTTATCAGTGTTCCGTGTGAATGTCAAAATTAGATTAAATATTTGATCAACCGTATCCAGATAAAATGTTCAAAACAAAGAAAATTTGAGTATTAGATTGAAGTTTTTTACCATTGTTTTTTTTTGGGGGGGGGGCGCTAATTTTAAGTTTAGGAGGAAGCTGAAGTCTCCCTAGCATTCAACAACTTATAGTTGAGCAAAAGTATCTACTCAAAGTCTACGTCAATATCCGATTATGTATTATTTATTTATTTATCATACTTAATGATACCCGAGTAGAAATATTTAAAATTTAAAATGTACCTCTTCAAACAATTTTTATACATAGCATACACTAGTTGTATTCATTGCCAGAATGATTCTTCCAACTACAATTTGTATACCTAATAAGAAATATATGTATGTACCTACGTGTATAGTGTTGAAATTTTGGTTTAGGTACAATTTTTTTTTGTTTAAATATCTACAACTAAATGTAATGTTTATAATGTGTAACGGTTTTCAGTACCTATTATAATCAAACACATTATTTATTTTATGTAGGTACTATATCACTACTCGAGAAATACTTTTGTGTATTTTTTTTTTTCTAGTATTTAATTATTTAAATAATTTTGAAAACCTATCCTTTGTACACAACACCGAATATTACTCATTTGCGAAATTGTACCGTATTGTCGGCGGACGTTTTTTCCTATATAATATTTTATGATGTGTATAATACCTATAGACGAACACGCATACCTACCTATTATGATGTACAACTATAATAATATGTACCTACACTATACGAAACTATAGTATAGTATTAGGCACTTAATAAAATACGACTTGTCGTGTGAAGTGCAGTCGTGCCCTCCCGATTCTTACCCCCCTGTAGAATTATTCCATACCCCACAGATGTTGTGCCCGGTATTCCTACCCCTATACATACCGCCGACGTTGTCGTTTCGATTTAAGTGAATAATAATATTAATAGTTTTTAAGTTGACATTAAACTATAAAATATAGGTAAATGTTATAATATCTTTTAGATCGTTAATTATACCGAGCAGAGATCAACCGCGCACTAAGTATAATATAAGTACCAAATGTACATATTATATAATATATATCATTACAGTCGTATGTGTGTGTGTATAATAATTAAACAATAATAATGTTTTATGTACTGCCACCAATGATGTATGTATAATACTTATGTATGTGTTATATACTATATATTATGTGCTGTAAATATATATTATATTTATATATAAATGTGTGTGTGTCATATATACCTATATTTATATATCATTATTTATTACGATGATGTGCGTCTCGTATTAAATTATATACATATAGGTGTCCCA